TCCCTGACCTGCCCAGACCAGCTTCCCACAGCCTCCTTAGGGATATCATTTTTGTAAGTAAGTTGTACCTAAGTAGGTACTGGTAGGGGGGTGCCTGAGTTGGAGCAAGTAGTGGGCGAGACGCGGACTTAGCGTCTCGCGCGTCTCCGGCAGTAGGCGCTTGTTTCCGAGCTGCCTCGGACGGGCTCTAGAGGGTAAAATAGAGTAAATACACAATGTCTCAGGGGGTTTTCATACCCGTCTCACACAATGAAAGACATACCGGGGCGTATTAACGCATGCGTCGGTGAGCGCGAGCACTTGAGTCGGGCTACTCATGCCACAGCTGGCACGTGGCTGCCTCACCGCTTCGGGCAATCGACCTCGACTTGAACCAAGTTATTTTCTGGTCCTATTTCTCTCTCCTCCCACATTCCTGACTCTCTCCTTGCTCTTTTAACTTCGAGTTTTTTCCTGATAATTTACTGCTTGCCTAGTAATGTCTGGAAGTGCTTCTGCTCATCCTTCTTCTGGCTCTGTTGGTCCTGCTGATGATGGGGCCTCTCCTGGCCCTGCTGCTCCTGGGACTTCCCCTGTCCCTGGTGATAGTGAAGTTGGCCCTGCTAGTGCTGAAGCTAGTTCTGCTCCCCCTCCTCCTCTACCAGCTATAACTCCCCCTCCACTTCCACCTGCTTCTCCTCCTCCGCACGCTCCAACTCCTCCTCCTCTGCATGCTCCAACCCCTCCTCCTGCTCCGCCTGCTCCAACTCCTCCTCCACCCGCTCCGACTCCTCCTCCACCTGCTCCGACTCCTCCTCCGCCCGCTCCTGATCCTGATGCTCCTGATGCTCCTTGCTTTGGGCTGTCATCTAAGAAGCGTAAGGAGCGACAGGAGCCTCCTGCCGCGGTGCGTTCAGTTCTGATCAAGCCTAAGCCATCTCGTCAGAATGCCAAGACGCTTGAGATGTCAGAGGCTGTGGCATCTGCCCACAAGGAGAAGATTGCGAAGCACTTTGCGGTGTTGGACACCACTGCAGATGAGGATAAGTACCCAACAGTGAAGAAGGCCCGTGGAAATCCCGCTATCCAGCATCATGCGGATGAGATCAATCGCAGAGCATCCATAGTGGTGGTCTCAAACCGTGAGCGCAAGGAGGTATGCTCCCATTGCAGTGAGTCTTCTATCTTTGGGTGTATTGCTTGAGTTCTTGACTTGAACTTCAGCATTCTCTGTGGCATCGCCGGTGAACGGCCCTGATCCACTGGTCCTGTTACGGCCTGGTCCAACTATCCAAGTCGTGAGTACATTTGATTTACTCTGCTGCTTCTGTCTTGCTCATTGTCCATTAGGGCCGTTATGTGGATGTCCAGTACACTGGCATGCACTGGCGGTGTATGACGCATGATGCACGGGCGCGGTTCTACAAGAAGGAAGATATTCCACCGCAATATGCCCCAGGCCAGAAGAAGAAGAAGGGTATGACAAAGGCAAAGCTTCAGCACCTTGATGTTTCAAGACTGTCTGCTGCAAAAGTCCGATGGGTCCTTGCTGACATCAAGAAGTGTCATTCAGGAGAGGCAGATCACCCAGCTTGTCTCCTGCTGGAGGAGACCGATGAGCTCCTGGAGGCAAAAGCGGATACGAAGCGGGAGAATAGGGCTGAGTACCGTAAGGCCCGCTCAATGCTCCAGAAGGAGAAGAGGGCAGGGAACAAGGTACAGAGGCTTGCGAACAAAAGGGCTAAGAAGCATGCTAGGTGGTTGAAGCGGAGTGGGATGGATGAGATGGAGGTGGATGAAGATGATAGAGGTGAGGGCAGTAGCAAGGTACAGGACAGGGTTCAGGAGGACTCAACCACAGAGGAGTCTGAGGATGACACCTTGGGCCCTGAGTCAGAGGATGAGTAGTGTATTCTTCCTTTCTGAATGTGCTGTGATTGCTTGACTATGCTTTCTGACTTCTACATGCCTTCCTATATCTGCATTAATTGCGTACTTGTCCATCGATTCTTCTTGGGTTTGTTAGATTCTCTTTAATGATCCACCTAGTTGAACTTCCTGTACACTCCCTTAGACCACACTCGTTTGCAATCTAAAGCTGTCCTTAATGTAGTCCAAAGTCTGACCGAACTCCAATAACAGTAGACTGGAGGATAAAATCACTGGGGAGTGAACGGTGGACTCTGGTGTGTTTGGTGGATAATGAAACAGACTTTTAAATACTGGAAAAGGGGAGTGCAACAAAGCCCAGTCAAATCACCACACTTCTGGAGCCAATGGATGTGTGACAAGGTCAGGCTGTAACCCAACGGTGATGGGTGGAGGGTGAATCAGGCATTTTTGTGCCTTCGGTGCCTACTGAATCAGACTCGGGGGGCATGAAATAGGGGGGACACATCCATTCCCCAGCCTCTGGGCTGAATTTGGACCCCAACGTCAACACCCGGCCAGAAGGGCGAACTCGGTGGAGGGCCAGTGGGGGCTTTGGGGGTTCG